GTACACTCCTGTCGTAGGTCAAACTCAACAGCAAAGGTCTGATCTTCTCAGTGGGCCTTCTCCCACCACCCCTGACCACTCCGCCACGTGTCAAACTCGAGGCCTGCGGGCCAAATGTGGCCCGCCAAGCACAATATTGTGTGGCCCGCTTAACAAGTGTTTCATAGCCCTACAATAAAGTGCACGCAGCTGAGATTTTTAACTCGATAAATTCACTTCAAATTCATTCAGTTGCGACGTACAATATTTGTAACTTAACATAAATAATAATCAAATGCAGAAACATTTATTAATATGTTATGGAGTAGTTGCATCTATACAGTCGTAGAGTTACAACCAGCGCTTCAAAGGAAGATCGTATTCCGCATCCCTCGGAATTGAAATACTATAAGGGGTGGGTACTATTTATTTATTTATCTATTATTGTACAAACCACTGTAGGAGTTGCTGTCATCAGCATCACTTGATTATTAAAATAGATTAATCAAATGAGCAGCAATGCTGCCATCTAGTGACTTTCGCTTTCAGAAACAGCCATTTTTCCCCAAAAACATTTGGCGAAACGCAGGCATTGAGTTATCGGATTTTTATTATCGGAGGAAAAATGGATAACGATCCTCATAGATATTACAAAATTATGCTAATATTGGGTTGATAATATCAATCGGGCGATATTATCGGACATCCCAACTAATTTTTTTTTTTCATATTTTTAAAAAAAAAAAATTTATTTCTTATGCCATTATTGTTTCTGTTAATGTGAAGTTTACAGAGTCGTGTATGAAACGTGGTGTAACATATAAAGCTGTCCTGTCTTTGCAGGTTCTTGGAGTTCACTTAAACAAATGGGTGTTGGACAAACGCCTGGGTCTCACCTGTCTGCTCTTCTACTCCGTCTTTCTTTGCTTCTCCTGTCTCATTGAGTACAACATCTTCTTTTTCGTCAACCTACCGACGTGTCGGGATGACTGAAATGACTAAGCACAAACACACACAGACACACACACAGACACACGGTCAGTCAGAATTGATGAGTGAAGTGTGAGTCGAATTCTTCGCAGCATGGAACTGCTTTGGCTTTGGCTAACTACCAACCAATGAAGTACTACTCTGTTAGTGACGAGGCTTGTACTTCACTGTCGTTATGGGGTTGCTGTATTTATTATTTTTCTATTTGTTTTTCTTTGTCATTTCTTTATTAATTGATTTTCTTGCATATGATAACGTTTTCATTTTCTCCGATACTGATACTGATACTACAACTTGGAGTGACAGCCGATACCGATACGATGTCGCGCAAAGTTCTGTTGAGCATTTAGAGTTAGCATCAGATCTCAGATCAGACTGGCTGTAGTTGTTTGTTTTGTTTTTTTTTTGATACCCGATTCTGAAATTTTGAGTGTTGGATGGAGCCATCTTTATTACAAAAGATGATCAGAACTAATTTAATATTTATTGACTTTTGTGATGTTTGCTTTGCACAGTCTTAATAACAACTTTAGTTTGGAGTTGGTTGATATAGATAATGAAGAAATTGTTGTTTTTTTCCCCCAAAACAAAAAAAAAAGAAGAAAGATTTTGGCAACAGATGTTGCCCCCTAATGGAGAGTTTTATCACTCGCACACTCAAGTCTTTTTCTAGAATTAGTTTGTTACAGTGTCTTGCAAATACAGAGTAGACAGATTAGAGCACAAAGTGTGTGTGGTGACTTTAGGAATAATAACTATTTGAAAAAAAAAAATGTAATCAGTATTTTTTTTTATTAATTACTAGACATCGCAGGCGACCCCATGTGGGGCTGCGATCCCGAGGTTGAAAAACACTGGGTTTGAGGGTAGTTGGTATACTGGACGGCAGCGGTCCCTAACCTTTTTTTGTACCAAGGACTGGTCAGCCGGTATCAGCTGTTACTGCGGACCGGTAATACCGTAGTAAGATCATTAAATTTTCAAAATAAAACATCTTTTAGACTTTATCCTGTTAGTATCAGAGTCTGAATGACCTGTTGTTCTGAAACATTGACAGAATGAAGAAAGTAAAGGGATATGACTGGATTCTTTTTGAATCCCTGTGTCCCAGTATCAAATGACCTACGGACCGGCACCGGTCCACGGCCCGGGGGTTGGGGACCCTTCCTGTAAAGGGATTATAAGTTAGCTAGGGTTAGGGTTTCTCAGTGTATTAAGTGTTAAATCTATCATAATTGCGATCATCAAATAGCATAAAATTAGCATCATTATCAAATAAACTGTATTTCGTTGCATGTTCTAACGTTTAAATAACACCACCTCGCTGTTAAAACGAAAAGACTTGGAGGACAAGACGTCATTTCCTGTCGGACTTCGTCACTTGCACGTCCAAATGAGAAATAGTCTGTGACTGTTTAGTGTTAATCGAGGTAGTTTTTACTCTGCTGTTATAGAGCTGAGTTTAGGCAGTGACCAATTAGAGACGCTGAGCTAAAGCGCCGTCTTTGAATCGCACGTTTTATATTCTGAC